AACAAGAAATATTTGATGTCAAAATGTATATGTCTATTTCTTGCTTAATGTGATTATTTTTAGTGCAGTTGTGTTATAATCATAGGCTGAATGGTCAATATACTCTTGATAATATTGCTTCTTGTCTATTTGGTATTGAAACCAATTCGTTACAGAATGAAAATATCACTATTATCAATCATTTAAAAACCTTTTTTACATTAAGTGCGGCCAATCTATTTTTATTAGTCTTTTGTGAGTATATTGTAGAAGAAGAAATGTTATGTAGATTATTATTTTTTGATTGGAAATAGTTCTTTCACCTCGATTGGCTCGTCATTTGAGTAAGAAAGGTTATTCAATGATACCAAGAGATACTACGAACTATTTAACACAACTAGTTGATCAAATATTAGCACGACGTCGACAACATTCAGAAAGACGAAATGATTTCATTCAAATGATGATTGATCATGAAGAAGAAGTCAAACATGAAGAGCAAACTGATAAACCGGAACGACAATCCGCAATACTTAAAAAGAGTAAAAAATCAATTATTTTACTATAGATAAACTCATAACATGGTTTTAGCTTTGAATGATAAAGAAATACTTGGTCAAGCTCTAGTTTTCTTGGTTGCTGGTTATGAAACAACAAGTGTATTACTGTCATTCTTTTTCTATGTCATGGCAACAGAACCAGTAATTCAAGAAAAAGTTTATAATGAAATTCATCAAGAACTTGGAGATGTACGTGATATTTGTGCTAGAGAATACTAATATATCATCGTTGTATCTAGGATGAAGTTACTTATGAAAAACTTAATCAACTTCAATATTTGGATATGGTTATTAATGAAACACTTCGAATATATCCACCGTTTACTAGGTAATTTTCTATGGTCTTTATTTTCCTCCGATAAGTGTGTTTTTTTTTGATAGATTTGAGCGAGTCGCCTCGAAAGATTACCAATTTGGTAATTATGACATACCGAAAGGTTCTATTATAAGCGTGCCCGTTTATCCCATCCATCATGATCCTAATGTTTGGCCTGAACCGGAAAAATTCATACCTGAAAGGTACATCTCATGTTATAATCTATAGATATTCTTAGTGAAAATATTGGTAATATTATCAGGTTCTTATCGACAGAAAAAGCTAAACGACATCCAATGACATATCTTCCGTTTGGTGATGGACCACGGTATGGAATTCATACTTGTTGATATCAACAGATTATGTATCTATTTGTTGTTATAGAAATTGTATTGGCATGCGATTTGCACTGTTAGAAGCTAAACTTGCGATAGTCAAAGCATTGCGTCTAGTTGAAATACAGAAATGTGACAAGACTGAAGTACGTAATGATCATTTTACCATTGACTATCTAATTATTAGTTGAGTTGTAGGTTCCAGTTCAATTGGGTCAATTAACAGTTTTATCTAGTAAAAATCCTATTTGGTTACGTGTCGAACGTCGATCCCAGTGAAATGAACATATTGATCGTTTTTTAAAACTTACATGTTGCAATACCATTTTGCTTATTTAAATCAAACTGCACTTTCTCTAGATATGTTAGAATTTTTATTTTGTACCCTAGAACATATTAATTTGATAAAGAAATGAAATGAGCTCATTAAGTTATCAACAGAATTAGACATTTGAAACGTATTGATCAATAATTCTAAAATACAAATTATTTTTATTTTCTTTACAAATAAAAATATCATTGATTACTTGATACTACTGCATTCCTTAACATTTAATGTTCGCTATTGATAATGATTGTCTCGTATAACATAAACTAACTAATCAATTACACAAAAAACATTACGATACTTAGCAGAAAGGGAAATTCCTCATTGTTATTGTATGAAAGTTTAACGAACACAAATTTTATACTCGCACTATTTTTTTGTCAATAGAGATTATTTTTTTACTGTCTGATCTAAATTTTAAAAACAGAAGCGTATTATTCTAATCGGAATGGTTTATTCATGAGTAACATAGAAGCGACATAATATTCCTCAAGTAGATTTTGTAAGACTTTGAAAGCAATGTTTCATTGGTAGCCTATTCCAGATTTATAATACAGGGTGACCTAAAAGTCGCTTTACCGAAAAAAAATTGAATATCTCCATTACGACTCGAGCAAATGAACTGGTCTTTTTAATCAATGATAGGGACCTGTTCAAAGATAGAAAAAAAACAGTATATGATAAAGAAAAGTTAGTCTCGCAAGACTAAATGTAAATGCTCACTAAGGCTTCTTTTTTTAATATCAAATACATGTTCTGGTACTTTGTCGAGATGAAAAGAAAAGAATATCAGCGTGCCAAAACCAATATTATTTGTTTATATTCTTTAGAAACAAAATGAACAACACTTCAGCACAAATATTCAAATTGTTTTCCGTCTCGTTTAATACACATTTGACAACGATCATCTACAGATCGATAGATTGCTTGGCATAATTCGATATTATCATTAGGCGATGTAAATTCTTCTTTGAGTAATGACTTCAGATGGTTTACATCGCAAAGTTTTTGAGTGTAGACACGATGTTTTATCATTCTCCATAGTGTAAAACCACATGGAGTTAAATTGGGAGACTGTGGTGCCCATTCAACAATTCCTCAACGACCTATCTAATTTAAGAACGTATCATCTAAATAATCTCACACAATTTAACCATAGTGAGGTGATGCGCCGTCTTATTGCCATATCATTGTTTGAAAGGCTGTATGTTTTTGAAGTTGTGGTAGGATATTATCTTTCAACATCTGAAAGTACTTTTCTGTTGTAACATCACCTTCAGAAAAGAATGATCCGACAACATCATTGACCATATTCCTCCCTAAACAATCACTTATGGTACATTGAGCTCTTGCTCAAAAATAAGATGTGGATTTGTATTACATGGAGCACTACAAAAGTTTTTTCACCCGCTTCTTCTAAAAGCCATAGTTTGGGTTCAAGCATTCGGTTATAATGCTTAAACATATTTAGGATTATGGACAAAATTTCAGCCTTATAGGTCTTATCATTTGCTGTTGTCCATCATTTCTTTTACGCTAGGTGCATGCGAGTTGCTAACTGATGAATTGTGATAGATGGCAGAACTTTGCATTTCATATTTCGACTCTTAAATATGGTCTATATAAATAAACAAAATATACCAGAAGATGCAGCGTGAAACGCTCTACAATTTGTATAGGAGAATTAATTTTACAGTTGCATTTTAATGCCAAAAATTGACAAAGTTCTGAACACTAAATTTTCGATGAGGCGAAATCAATGTTTGTTTTTGATAAGAGACCATTCGTTTTTTCTTATGTCATCTTTGCTTTATCTGATATCTTCTCTTAAATAGAAAACAAAACATACCATCAGATGCATCATGAAAAGCTCTACAATTTTGAAAGAACAACAATATCATACATGCATCTTTTATTGAAAAAAAAATGCAAAATTCTGAGTAACCAGTCTTTGACGCTGCAAAAATTCTACATGAGCGATGACTTCCTTTTTTCGTATCTCATCTTTTTATCAATCAATATGCTTTCTTAGAAAAAAGCAGAATATGACGAAAGATGCAGCGTGAAAAGTTCTACAATTTAGAAAGAACAGTTTATTTTAATTGTATACTTTTTATTTTCAAAAAGAAGCGAAATTCTCCGAAGTACTTTTCGCAGCAGCATCGAAAATTGGTTGCGTAGAACACTGTTTATTTTCAAACAAACAGCACACAATTAAGATAAGCTTTACATTGTAGGTTGTAGAGCTTTTCACGCTGCATCTTCTGGTATATTTTGTTTTTTTATATAGACCATATTTAAGAGTCGAAATATGAAATGCAAAGTTCTGCCATCTATTACAATTCATCAGTTAGCAAGTCGCATGCACCTAGCCTAAAAGAAATGATGGACAACAACAAATGATAAGACTTATAAAGCTGAAATTTTGCCCATAATCCTAAATATGTCTAAGCATTATAACCGAATGCTTGAACCCAAACTACGGCTTTTAGAAGAAGCGGGTGAAAACACTTTTGTAGTGCCCTATATAATAATAATAATATTGAGTTACGAAAAACGATTTAAAATAAAAAAAAATTGAAAGATAATGAGCGAATAGCAACAATGCAAAATAAAAATAGGACGCTCTCAAACAAAAAAAAATTTTCTGTTTTAAATGTAGAAATAAATAACAAAGTCTCGCTCTTGTCGTTGATTATCAATGAAAACAACTACATTGTACACGACATTTTTCAGTTTACATATGATGTATTAGAAAATTAAGGTTTAAGGATATATGTGAGCTCCACATTTCAGCTCCAAAGGAGCTGCGCTAACAAGTTTTTTTACATCGACATAGGCAACAATCATTGGTACTTCGATGGGCCTTGTTTGCCCAAAATTTCGCAATTTCTGGAACTTTTTTCCCATTTTTATGGTGGGACAAAACTACATCTCATAGGTCACGACTTTTTACCGTCTTAAAACCAACCCAAAGAAAGTAAAACAATATCATCCTATCAGAATGATGGAAGGCCCGAATGTATCTCATCTATATAAAATAAAACTGATTATCTCAATAAACGAACAGAAAATAGAGACTTTTCAAAATGTTGCAAAACTTTTGGCACACCCAGTATGTGGGTGGGTGTGGGTGTGGATGTGGATGTGGATGTGGATGTGGATGTGGGTGTGGATGTGGGTGTGGATGTGGGTGTGGATGTGGGTGTGAGTGTAGATGTGGGTGTGGGTGTGGGTCTGAGTGTAGATGTGGGTGTGGGTGTGGGTGTGGGTGTGGGTGTGGGTGTGGGTGTGGGTGTGGGTCTTATTCTCACACTCACACTCACACCCACACCCACATCCACACCCTACCCATCCACACCCCACCCATCCACACCCCACCCACTCACACCCGCACCCCACCCCACCCATTCATACCCACACCCACACTCACGCCCCACCCATTCACACCCACACCCTGCATAAACTTGCTCGGAAATAATATGGTCCTTCTGAAAATGTTTTTAAAAATATGTTAATCATATTCATAGTCTTACTCATCGCACTGCTCGATAAAAATATCTGGCAATATTTTATGTAAACACATTACTTTCATAATGTGCTTGTATGGGGGGAAATCCAAGAAAGTTAAACATCTGTCTGATCAAATCATTAGTTACATGTTTACTTTTCTTCATTATTAGCTGTTAATATTTATAAATGCTTTATTTCTTGATTGATATTTCGTATTTCAAAGACACCTATAGCTAATATGACTTTCATGCACATTTCTATGTTATATAGAGTCGAAGAACACATACCTGTTGTATGTGAAACGAAGCAGACAACATGTGAATGACTTTTTTTCTTAGTTGCATTAAGATAATAATCTCTCTGATGTTTCATAATAGATAAATATTTTTTATTGACATACGTTATTCAAAAACGACTTACATCTGACCTTGACTAATTAGTTGTCAATGCTGTGCTTTCAAATAAACTAACGTAAAAGATCGTGTTGAAATTTTACTTGAATCAGCAACTTAAGTTTTTAGAAAAAAGTTACCTTCTTCGTACATCTAACAGTAAGAAGATAATTTCACAATAAATAAAGATCAATGAAAATTGTCTCGACGAGCAAAAAAGAAAATATAATATACTAAAAATTCGAAATCTTATTTTGTATGATTTTTCTATTATACGAAACGTAATTAACTGATTAGTTACAGACGTAGATAATAGAGTGGTTTTATACCATGCATATTTTCGTTCGTCATGATGCAAGTTGTGAAAATTAAGAATCAAATCTTCATCTTTTACACAGAAATATATTCTAGAGTAATTTCATAGTAATAAGTGATATAAATTAACAGTCACATACATAATTGTCAAAATCCGTTTAATGATAACAAACAATTAGATCTAACAGATACGAAAAGGCGTTCATTATTATGATGGTAAATAAAGAAAATTTTTTTGGATATATTGATCAATAATTACAGATATATCAGGAATTCTTCATAGCAAAAATTAATGAAATAAAATAGTGAAAGTATGTTATGGCTTTCATCATATGAACTACTATACTTTGGGTCTACCAATTCGATAGCAAAATATAAAACTCTTCGTTTCCTTCAACTACAATTATATATTGCATCGATTGATAGTTAAAAATTTGTTTGAATTTACTAAAGGAGATGATTAATATTCATTGAAAAGAAACATTGATGAAAGAAAATAACAATATTAAACTTGACAAATATTGATTTTATGTAAGATTTGAAAAGCGTTCTTTTTTCCCAAGAATATCTCTTTCATTCTGTCCTTCGACTTACAACCGTTCATGAAAGATTAATAGAATAGAACTATTAGACAAACTTTAAAACATTCTTTTCTACTAAATCCAAGATATTAGATTAATGATGGTTTCTTTTTATCGACTTCTATGCCTGATATAGTACAGTTAGGCTAA